ATATAAAATTGTAATTCTATTCGAATAAAAAGATTAAAAACCAAAACGAATCTGATTACTTAATGTCCACACCTCGTATCTTTGTCTGTCGTTGTTGATTCGATGTCGTCATTGCGTGTCACCGAAGGGTCGGGTAAGTACCTAATGCCTGAGGATTTGATAGAACGGAGGCGCCGCGCCGTAACCACCTGTTACTCCGTTCGTTCGCATACCCGGTGCTCCGCTCGGTGGTCGCCGGTCAGGTTTACTCCTCCGGAAACGGTGGGGTAGATCGCCGGTTTTTCATTGGTCGGCCGGCACGTGCTGCACGAGGGTGCCTCGCTCCAAAAACGCATAAATCCCTCGGCAGCGCGCCAGCCGACTTTAGAATCACCCCGGCCGTAGTCGGCGTGCGAACCACCGATCCATCGACTGGATCCTCGATCGATCCAAGGTGAAAATAAATCGAAACAATCTCGAAAATCGTCAGAAGTAGAGACAGGAAGAAAACTGTGATACCGTGAGGAGTGAAGGAAATTCAGTGAGGAACCCGTCGTCGTCTGAATTCGTGTAAAAATCGTAATGGAACTGCAGGAGATGTTTCGTTACGGATACATGTTCCCGCCGAGGGAGGACGAAGTGGTGTCCTGCGCGTATCTGGATTTACCGAGCTACGCTTATTCCAAGAATAAAACCGATCTACCTCCGGTGAGCACGATTACGATACCCCAGTGCATCGTTTACGACGACGGTAACCGCAGCGACGGTTGGCACACGCCGAGTCCGACCGCGAGTCTGCGATCGGTCAGTCCAGCCACGACGTCGTCCGTGTCGTCGGAAGCAGACGCGATGAGCAACCCCGTCACCTACCGTTTGTTAGGCTCCGTCGAGGACAAAAGGTACGCGCCGAAGAGGTCAGCGATTAAAACCGAGACGACGACGACGAATCGTTCTATGATCGAACTGACCGAGGAAGCGAACAGTATGGACGCAGACACGGACGATGGAACCGGTGACGCTGAATTGGAAACGGAACACGAGAACGAGAAGTCGCAGTCGTGCCGAGGCAGCGTGATCAGCAACGCGAGCAGCTTTTCGGATAGAATCGTGGACGGGGACAGCGAGGACGATGCAGAGATGAGCGACAGCGCGGATCACGTCGGATCCGAGACCGGAAGCGACAGGAACCTCGTCAGGAGAAGAGGTAAATACGTTAGCTCGACGATCGTCCGGAAACGTAGACTGGCGGCGAACGCGAGGGAACGCAGGAGGATGCAGAATTTGAATAAAGCGTTCGACAGGTTGAGGGCGTATCTTCCGTCTTTGGGCAACGATAGACAATTGTCGAAATATGAAACGCTTCAAATGGCTCAGTCTTATATCACGGCGTTGTACGATTTGTTGCAATAATCTTTTTTTTTAATCGTGACTAGTGAACCGATCGAACGACCAATAGACTTTTTATACTGTGTATACGATTGATTCATCATTTAATTTCATTGGACAATTTTCATTTCGTTGGACAATTTCGTTTAGTATCGAGTAGGCAGAGACGCTATTATTTTTTTACTATTATTTTAGACTGCGGATTTTATGCATTTATAAAAAAAAAATATGCATATGAAAAATTGCCTATTGAAGAAATGTGTAAAATGCATATTTGACATGGATTTTTTATTTCGCATAAGAATCCGCATTCTAATTATTATTATATTTAACATACTCGAACGGAGAGCTTAGAATTAGAATAAGCGTTATGATTAGGCTAAAAAAATGTTTACCTTTGAACTCGACAGCCTAATCATTCTCGTGTGTACATAGGAGCGATAATGTAAATTTTGTAAAATATCATTTTTATCAAATAAGTCTTGAATTGAATAGTTTTGTATGATAAAAAGGAAGCAAGTCAGGTACTTATAATTTATTGTATGATAAACGTTAATAAGCTTATTGAGACTGAAACGGCATGTGTTGATAAATATAATTATTTTACAAACTCCTGATGTCCATTTATTCCCTTCCGGTCAGTTCTGCACGTTGAAGCCGGACAATTTCAAGTCCTGTAAACTGTTCACGTTTCTTCGAGTTTAAAAGGCAGATAATGCGATCCTCTTTGAATAAGACTCGAGGAATCTCGTTTCGACTTTCATCCACCATCGCCATTCCTCGATTTGTTCGGATGGTCTTCTCACTTTTTTAATCGATCGAATCGTTTTCTGGAAATCAGTCAGGAGTTACAGGTTCACAGGGCGCGCGTAGGGGATGAAAGGTATAATTCGGGGCGAATGAAAAACAGCATCGTCATCGGTGGTCTGGTCGTCATACGAAACCCACGCGACGCGTCGGTGCCCGGTTTCATTGTAATTTGAGAAGTTGCAGCCTCCTTTCTTCGACGATGACTCTTCTTTCCTTCTCTCTATATCTCTCTTTTCGCCTTTAATTATTCGTTATTACACACTATCACTCGATGATTCTTTTTTACCTGCAAAAGGTGGTCGAAATAAAAACGAACAATCAACACCCTTAACACCTTCACGTCTCGGTCGTCTATAATAATTTAAATAGACGTTTCTTTTGTCTTCTAAACATTTTAACAACTCAATTAATATTTCGTATATTTTTTAACATGGCAAATATCGATAACGACTCTTCCTTCCTTTTCTTTATATCTCTTTTTTCGTCTCTTATCGCCTTTATGCAAATGGTGGTTGATATAAAAACGAACAATCATCACCTTTGACACCTTCAGATCTTCTCGTTCGTTTATAATAATCTAAATAGACGTTCTTTTTACATCGTAACAATTTAATTAATATTTTGTATATTTTTTAACATGAAATATCGATAACGACTCTTCCTTCTTTTTCTTTATATTTCTTTTTTCGTTTCTTATCGCCTTTATGCAAAAAGTGGTCGAAATAAAAATGAAAAATCATCACTCTTGATACCTTTGGATCTTCTCGTTCGTTTATAATTGTTGAGAGTCTCATGAGAGCGAGAGAGAGAGAGAGAGAGAGAGATCTGATAGCTGAGATTCGTTAATTGCCGAAATCGGTTTTTATTATCCCCCCTTCTAGAGCTAGATCTCAAGTAAACACGAACTACCTGTATTGTTCTAACGACACTTCGTCAAGGTAACTCTAAACTACAACAACGGGCACTATTCTAATTTGGTTTCAAAAAAGTTATACATGTAACCACTGCTATAGTGATTTTTTCTCTCACTCCATAATTTGATTATAATTAATTTAGTGTTTAAATTTTAATTGTAGAAAAATAGTGTTGTAGTTTAAGCCTTATAAATTAAGTGATGAAACTGACAGTGACTGTTAACCCCTTGAACGACAATTTATTTTCAGTCAGCACTTGAAAAAGAGGAAAGTTTATGACGAGCTGGACTCGTCATTTCCGTTCAAGGGGTTAATCACTAAAAAGGTAAATTCTTCTCTCCGACTCAGCTCCCAATTCTGATGATTCCTTTACTGAAAAATAATACTCTAAATATACGTTCTTTTTACATCGTAACAACTCAATTAATATTTTGTGTATTTTTTAACATGAAATATCGATAACGACGAGGAGCCACTTTTATTTCTCTCGTTTTCAACTAACTGAGTTCTGCCTTTTTCTTCGTATACCTTAAATTGATACGTGCAGCTTGACTTCTTACTTGAAACCAATGAATATTTCGATTTTGTCGTAAGAATGGGACCGATCTTCTGAATAAGTCATGCCACTTTTGCATTGAACGTGAACGCGGACATGCCGAAACGGTCGCCGGTGATTGATTTGTATGCTCGACATTTATTCGGCGATCGCATAAGCGATGGATCAGAAATTACGATTCGATCGGACGACTTCTATGAGTTGAAATTAAAAACACGCATGAATAATAATCAATTTACAAATGTACAGAAACGACTATCGGTCATGCGTCGATCGATCGTACGAAATTAACGTTAAACGTAAGACAGACGTAGTATAACGAAGCCGGGGAATACGATCGATTTAGAAGGAATAAAGAGACGCACAGGTGCGGCGAATATAAGCGGCCGGGGGCTCGTCACCGACAAATTTCAACAGGCCGATGATATTTATTGCCTGATCTCAGTCGGCAGATTACATTATTTTGATACTTAATGCGTTACGCCGGTGTGCGTCCCTCGGTCGCCCTTCCCCCTGCGATCCGAAGATCGCGTATGTGTCCCGGTGGTAGCCAGCCAGCGGGCTACGATAAAATATTCGGCAAGCTTCTCGGGGATCTCTACGCTAAATGTACTCAAATAAAGCAATCTCTACGATCAGACAACGAAGACGCGGCGGCGGCGTTCGTCTTTTATCCTCCGTTCTACCCCCTTCCCGAGCGAAGTTTGCCAGTTTCCAGCCGGAACCCCCTCGCAAGTATTTTTTTGACGACAGTGCCCGCTGGTCCAGCTTCCTTCTCTCTTTGTCAAGGATCTTCTGACAAAGCGGAGGTGGTAGTCCGCTCCGAGAATTAATTGCTTTCAACAATATTTACGTTCTCATCGTCCGAAGGATTCCTTCCGCCCGCCCTTCCTTTTTACTCTTCCCTTTTATTTTTTTAACGAACCGGGTCGCCCGGAGGAAGACGTCGCGCGATTTTTATCGTCGAACCGCGAATTTTATATTCGTGTCACGACGACGCTAAAAGATTCCTATAAGACAGATATTAACGTTCTTTTTTTTAAACAATGTTCCCTCGTGTTCGTTGTAGAAAAAATGTGTCTACGTTCTTTGAACGAGAGACGTTAACGAGAAAAGATTACAATGGTAGCTTCTTAATAGGACCCGACTGACTACTCCTGGCCGCAGGTATCTTCCACTACGCGTGAAACGACGGGGGTTGTTTGTCCTCGATAAATTTTACACGGTTGCGTACGACTTCGCGTTGAACGTTTATTCTAGCCAAATAGTGCGAATTATGTAATTATTGACAAACCTTAAATGGTGCGTCGATTTCGAATTATTGTGATTGATTAAGATTGTACGAACCCTTACATAAAAACAATTTCATAAACTTTACGCCTTTGTAATTATCATTTTTTCTAAAAGTTCATTGCTTCAAATATTGGACACAGCTTTTTATTAGATGTCTTCAATTTTTGGCAGAGATCTTACGGTTCATAGAATCCTAAGGATGTATTGGCTATACAGTCAATCCCAAAAGTTTATGTATTTTAGAAAAACGCATTTTCTATAATTAATAACAAATTCAACATGCTAGGATCATTTAAGTATATAGCCTATACATCCTTAAACTTTTGGGAGAGATCTTACGACTCCTACAACGTTAATGATCGAGGACAGCGAGAAATGTTTGAAGGAAAAGTTGTAATACCCAGAAACAAGATTCTATACAATCCTCATGTATCTTCAATAGTTTACGCGGTATCTTTTTAATACCTCGAAGCTCATGCGGTGCGTGTTCTCGCGAATGCTTCCGGATTATAAACGCAGGTAGAAGGTGTGTTCGATCCCGGTGGATGGAACGAAAAACACGACCGCCCATTGTGAGGGATCGTCGATGATCCTGCGAGGTCGACGTCCAACTCGTAAATCGGTAAAAGATTCCCCCGTACCCTTGATCGGGATGCCGGAATAAGAGCAGGAAGATTCGGTTCGTGACTTTTTCCCAACAGTGCATTTCCTCTTTGTTGATTTCCTCGTCGAGGATATAAACTTGCGCTCACAAATCCAAACGCCACACGTGCGTTGCGTATAAGCCAGGCAGCGATTATAAACAATATTTATAATATTTATAAAATCGTTTATATTATTAATATTATAATATTTATATAATTGATTATAAACAATATTTATAATATTTATAAAATCGTTTATATTATTAATATTATAATATTTATATAATTGATTATAAACAATATTTATAATATTTATAAAATCGTTTATATTATTAATATTATAATATTTATATAATTGATTATAAACAATATTTATAATATTTATAAAATCGTTTATATTATTAATATTATAATATTTATATAATTGATTATAAACAATATTTATAATATTTATAAAATCGTTTATATTATTAATATTATAATATTTATATAATTGATTATAAACAATATTTATAATATTTATAAAATCGTTTATATTATTAATATTATAATATTTATATAATTGATTATAAACAATATTTATAATATTTATAAAATCGTTTATATTATTAATATTATAATATTTATATAATTGATTATAAACAATATTTATAATATTTATAAAATTGTTTATAATTATCGTCACGCAATCTTGTCAGACTCGTCAGCTGAAATAATCATTTGAACGTATCGTTCCTGAAAAGGAAAACAGAGGAACGAGACGCGTTCGGTGAACCGATTTGTTTGTTCGCGATCGATCGAAATCCGCTTAATGCGAAGAGAAGAGAAAAGTTTTCGCGCAGAGGAAGAGGTAAGAGTTTTGAAAACACGTCGAAGGGTCGTTCGAATTTGAAAGGGGTGTGAGGGTCAATAGGGAACGGCATGGGAAAGGTACTAAGAGGGGAAGGGAACGTTGCGTCCCGACGCACGCGACACGAGCTTACTTTTAGTTTCTGCTGGCCAGCGGTGGCCACTAGAAACGACCCCAGGGGTATTAATTTCATTTGATCAAACGTTCCAACGACCCTTCCCGTTTGTTTGCACTCGACGCACACGCGTCCTCGAGTGCCGTTTATACTTCCACGTCCAGGGGTGAGAATTCTCGTGGAAAATTTCAAATTTATTTCGCCTCAGGCACGTATTATCAGTTTACCAGTTCGTTTTAGATATTTATATAAATTTAGATAAATAAGATAAAGGAGGTAGTACCTGGACACTTTTGAACATAAATTTTTCATCATGTTTTTTACTACGAAATTTAAGCATAGTACATGAAAACTTATCATCTTAGCAGATAGCTGGGATCTCATAGTCATATTTAAGAAAAAAAAACCTTCTTTTGTAATATATGTATTAAAATAATCGCATTAAAAAAAAATTGCTGTCAACCGCAGTAGTAGGACACATTTAATCTGAACGAGTGGTGTAGTAGGACAAGTATGGAATCAGAACTGGGACAATATTATTATGACGCCTCTAAGCGAATTGAGAAACAGTTGGATTAAGAGAAAGGGTTGAAAAGTTATGAAAATACACTAAATCATTTATTGTGAAAAATATATCATACGTTTGAATGGGTTTTATAGCAGATCGGAATTTATCCAGGTATTGCAGCGCGATTAATTAGTGAGGGACTAAACCTGGACAGCCACTGCCGTCTTGTCCCACTTGTACGTATTAAGTTTCAAAAGGGATTGTAAACTTGGACAGTAAATTATTAAATACATATCTATTATGTCCAAGTACTGGTTCCAAAATTCGTTTTGTCCCAGTACTA